CCATTTGGGAAGAGAGTTTAAAAGTCACTTTTCAATTCCAAATTGGTATCAAAATGAGAATAGAACAAAAAATTCATCAAAATGAGAACAAGCTCCAGTTTTCACTATTTCACTGTGCGTTGCCGTTGAGGTGGGCCAACCGGTTGTCCGGCCGGTTGACTGGTTCCATTTCAAATAGGTAGGTTCAAACCGGTTAAAAAGGTTCAAAAAAAAAAAAATTACCCTTGTCGGTCGATCGGTTGGTCGACCCTTCCCTTTTGATGCACGGTTAGAGCAAGCCATATCAGATTGAGAAAATTGATTTTTTTTACTCAAATTTAGTGAAAAATTTGATTAACCGTTGGAGATGCTCTAACTTTCCAAATTTTCCCTAAATGTCATCTTTTAATTGCTATCTAAAAATAAAAAATAAAAAATTGATTTGTCATATATTTATGTAGCCTACTTTTTTTATAAGTCCATTTGGGAAGAGAGTTTAAAAGTCACTTTTCAATTTTTAACTCACTTTCCTTTCTTATAAAAGAGTCAAAAAATAACTTTTAACTATCTTTTCAAAATAACTTCATATTATTATACGTAAATTTAAAAATCTAAATTATAGATCTCCAAAAAAATCAAAAAATAATTTTTAACTATCTTTTCAAAATAACTTCATATTATTATACGTAAATTTAAAAATCTAAATTATAGATCTCCAAAAAAATCAAAAAATAATTTTTAACTATCTTTTCAAAATAACTTCATATTATTATACGTAAATTTAAAAATCTAAATTATAGATCTCCAAAAAAATCAAAAAATAATTTTTAACTATCTTTTCAAAATAACTTCATATTATTATACGTAAATTTAAAAATCTAAATTATAGATCTCCAAAAAAATCAAAAAATAATTTTTAACTATCTTTTCAAAATAACTTCATATTATTATACGTAAATTTAAAAATCTAAATTATAGATCTCCAAAAAAATCAAAAAATAATTTTTAACTATCTTTTCAAAATAACTTCATATTATTATACGTAAATTTAAAAATCTAAATTATAGATCTCCAAAAAAATCAAAAAATAATTTTTAACTATCTTTTCAAAATAACTTCATATTATTATACGTAAATTTAAAAATCTAAATTATAGATCTCCAAAAAAATCAAAAAATAATTTTTAACTATCTTTTCAAAATAACTTCATATTATTATACGTAAATTTAAAAATCTAAATTATAGATCTCCAAAAAAATCAAAAAATAATTTTTAACTATCTTTTCAAAATAACTTCATATTATTATACGTAAATTTAAAAATCTAAATTATAGATCTCCAAAAAAATCAAAAAATAATTTTTAACTATCTTTTCAAAATAACTTCATATTATTATACGTAAATTTAAAAATCTAAATTATAGATCTCCAAAAAAATCAAAAAATAATTTTTAACTATCTTTTCAAAATAACTTCATATTATTATACGTAAATTTAAAAATCTAAATTATAGATCTCCAAAAAAATCAAAAAATAATTTTTAACTATCTTTTCAAAATCTTTTTTATTATTATTATATTATATTAAAGTTTAATATTTTGATAATAATCATATGTGTTGAACTTTTCAATAAATTTTTTTTATACTTATTCTTAATACATTAAAGTGTTATTATGAGAGATAATAATCATATGTGTTGGGACTTTTCAAGAAATTTATATGTGTTGGATTTCAAAGAATTTTTTTTATACTTGTTTTTAATGCATTAAAGTGTTATTATGATGGTTTTTATATTATATTAAAATTTAATATTTGGATAATAATCATATGTGTTGAACTTTTCAAGGAATTAAATATCTTTTTTATTATTATTATATTATATTAAAGTTTAATATTTTGATAATAATCATATCTGTTGAACTTTTCAATAAATTTTTTTATGCTTGTTCTTAATGCATTAAAGTGTTATTACGAGGGATAATAATCATTTGTGTTGGAACTTTTCAAGGAATTCATATGTGTTGGATTTCAAAGAATTTTTTTTACACTTGTTTTTAATACATTAAAGTGTTATTATGATGGTAAGATTTGGGAGTTGGGAGAAGTTAATAAATGTTAAGATTTTTTTAAAAATCAAAAAATCTGAAAATTTAGATTGAGAGATTGGAGCTTCCACAAGGTTTGGATTAAAAACTCCATTTTACTTAATATATAGTATAGATGTTACAATGATTAAATTTATCAAAAAAGGCTAAGACCCCCTTTCAAAGGTACCCCACGACCCCTTTGTCTTTTGATTGGTCAAAATTGTTTTTTTTTTTTTTTTTCTTTTTTCTTCTCTCCCACTCACCAACCCCACCTTAGGGAAATATAAGGGTCCTAATCACAGCTGTAAATTTATATATCATCTTTAATTTACTATGAATGTGTCATCTTTGTATTGATGACATACATAAGTAGTGAGACCTATTTAATTAATTAAGCCTCCGTTTGGGGAGTGGGTTAGTTTTTTAATTTTTTGATTTTTTTAGCTATTTTAGTTTAGGCTAAAAAACTTGGTTTGGGAGGGGCTTTTTGACTTTTTGACTTTTTTGACTTTTTTTATGAGAGAAGAGTGTAATGATTATGGGTTGAATGTGATGTTTTGTTTGTTGTGACTAAAATAGTTTATTTTGTCTTTTGTGACTATTTTAACCCCAACCTTACTTGCCAAACGGACGTTAATTATGACAAATAAAATACTAAACCTAATGTTGTATATAAACATGATCATCATACGTTTTTTGCATTAAATGGGTATTAACAAAAGGGTATTGGTTTATTCATTACTCAACTACCCATTTTTATGAATAAAGTACAACCTTGTAAGAATAAGTGTCTTAAAACTTCCGTGATAACAATATATATGGGTCTGGACTGTTTCAATCCGCATCTGGGATGGTCCAGTTTAGTTTGCCCATTGGGTTCACTTTTGGGTCATTTTTTGATAATCTGAACCGTTTACATTTTAGAATTTATTGAGTACATTATTCCTGTAAAAAATCATGTCGATCGGATAACGGATACTATATATTTAGATCACTTTTGTCTAAAAAAAATGGACGGTTAGAAAATTAACGGGTCATAAAAAAATGATCTAAATACATAGTATTTTTTATCCGATCAACATAATTTTTTATAGGAATAATGTATTCAAAAAATCCTAAAATGTAAATGATTTTATTATTGAAAAAAAGATCTAAAAGTAAGCCCAATAGCCCGGACTGAACCCTCCTATTCATATGGTGAACTGGAGGCAAGCCACTGCCAATATATATATGCTTTTATATCATTGTTTAATATTGGAAATTTTGTAGAAAAAGTTTTGAAAATAATTTGAATTTAATAAAAACGTGTTTTATATTTATATTATCTTGTTATTCTTTTCTCTCCGGTCCATTAAACGACTAAACTGTCTATATAGTTTTGTGCGATTGCCACCTTATTTGGATGATTAGTTTTGCTTATTTTTTAGGTTCATCAATGGATCTTTTAAAAAATAAAAATGATCCGATGATGGTTGCCATATGATTTTACATCGATCCTTATTTTTTTACATTCGATTGTTCATTTGGTTACTTAAAAAGAGAAAAAATACACGATCATGACATCACTCATCCAAGGTATATGGTTTAGAATTTTTGTATCAAGCCTTTTTTTTTTTTTTCATAGTTATTGGGAAAATTGCACTTCAGTGCAAGTTTCCAAAAATAATTGCAAATCAGTGGAAAAAATTTATCAATTTTAATAATTAAAGTTATAAGTTTTTTCATAAATTTGTAAATTTTGGTTGAAATTTCAGTTATTTGCAATTTTTCCTTTTTTATTTGAATACACTTCCAAACTAAACAATATAGGTTTTGTTTGGCATAAGTTAAAAAGGTCACATTTGTTTCTTCAAAATTTTTGACTCTTGCTCTTTGTTTTGTGTAAAAGAATCTAATAAGTTTAAAAAAAAAAAAAAAACATTAAAGATAAAAAATAAAAAAACTCTTTTTTTTTTTGTGAATTTTTTTCTTCAAATTTTTAAATTTTGTTGTATATTCTTGATTCGTTTAGTCGAGTAGATTCCAAATTTCTAAATCTTTTTGTTTTTAAAGTGCCATAAAGACGAAAAAATTCTGAGGTGGTGTTTGGCAAGTGGGTTGGGGCTAAAATAGCCACAAAAGACAAAACAGGCTATTTTAGCCACAACAAACAAAACATCACATCCAACCCATAATCATTACACTCTTCTCTCACAAAAAAAAGCCAAAAAGTCAAAAAGCCCTTCCCAAACCAAGCTTTTTAGCCCAGGCTAAAATAGTCAAAAAAGCCAAAAAGCCAAAAAGCCAACCCACTTCCCAAACGGAGGCTCAATAAAAAAGTGACTAAAAAGCCAATCTCAAATGATCCTGTAATAAAAATTTTAAGATTTTGAAAATCGATCATTTAATTAAAATATATTAGAAATAAGAAATTTTAATTTTGAAAACAGAAAATCCAAATGTGCCAAGATATATTGAGAGGCTCTTAGACTTAGGCTTGGTTTGGGGTACACTAAATAATACAAAAAATCAAAAAGTTACTATCCTATTTAAGTCACATCATCTTATTTAAATCACATCACCTCTCTAACACATCACATCAAACCCAATCCAAACCCAACTCATATAAGCCAATAAATTAAAAAGTGTACTTTTTTAGAACATCCCAAACCAACCCTTAAATATGGACAATGGACAGCTCAGTCTTTTTAATAAGAGAAGGCCCTCTTGAAAGAGAGAGACCTCCAATTCAATCTCATCTTATTTGATTTGACATTCAAATCCTTTTTTTTTTCTTTCTCAAATGTCTTAAAAGACAGGTTGTTTTGCCATTTTCAACCAATGCATGTATTGGGTAGCTCTATCCCTCTTAAATGCATTTGTGTGTATATAAATGCCTTCTTATTGCTCAAGATATGTACATATGAGCTCTGCCATTTTCCTTCTCTCCAAACAGACCTTCTTGTGATCAGCTGTTTTCCGATGGCGAAACAATGGTCTTATGGCATTGGAAAGGCGGTTTTCCGGTGCAGAAAAGCGGTTTCTTTGTGGGTATTGGCAAAGATGGGTGGTTTTGAAACTGGTTTTGTTTTCACATTGATGAAGAAAGCTCTTCTTGCTCTGCTCACTTGCAGTCTTGCACTAGGTACGTAGTATGTTTCTTGTCAAGAATATTACCTTCTTTTTCTTTTCTTTTTTTTTTGATTGGGTGTACTAGTAAGTACACATTTTTTTATTTTATTTTATTATATCACCTCTTTATTTTTTTTACGGATCTTTTCGTAAAAAGTCAAAAAATATATTTATTTAGATCATCCCAAACCATCCGAGTCATGGATGTTGTGTTAGGAATATCAAATACTGAACTGGACAGGAAAAAAACAAAAAAAAAAGAAAAGAAGAAAACAGATTTTATAAATTTTGTTTTTTGAGCCTTCTTTTTTTAAATTCATCCATTTATATTATGTAACTCCACTTGGTTTATGAATTACTACATTGGAATTGTTTGGTACAACTTATACAGGCTGTCTAATGCTTTTTTTCTTTTTTAATTGCTTTTATTTTGAGTCTTTACTTGACTGGGTATATTTGGTGAAATTTATTGTAAATTGCTAATAATTAGAAATGATAGGTTAAAAGCATTCATTTTCTCAACTTTCAAATAATTATTTTTTTCCCTATTTATTTATGTTATTCTTGCTTAATAAATTGTAAGAAGAAGTTGAACTAAACTGTCTAGCACATACCTCCAGAATAATAATAATAAAAAAAACTATAAACAAGTCAAGTAAATTGTTTGGTACAGCTTTTATTTTTATTAAACAAGAATAAGTCAAATAAACTGATTATTTGAAAGTTAAAAAAAAAAAAAAAACTTTTAGGAATATTATTTTTTTATTATTAATTTTTAATTTATGATAAGGTGCACCACATAAGCTTATTTATTTCTTATTGAGAATATTAAAGTGTAGTACTAATATGGATTGTACAATAACAATTAGTGTGTTTAGTTTGAGTTTTTTGAATTAAGTTTTTTGAAAATTAAATTTTTTGGTTTTCGTAATTTTTTGTTTTTAGTGAATATTTTTAAAATTTTAAATATTTTTTTTAACTTTTTAGATGCACCTTACTTTGATGTATCTAAAAAGTAAAAAATAAGTAAAAAAATAATTTAAAAAATTAGTAAATACATAAAAATATAAAAAATGTATTGAATTTTCGTATTTTTTTTTTTTATATTTTGGGTATTTAGTGAATTTTTAAAAGGTTTTCTTCACAAATTTTTTACTTTTTAGATACATCTAAGTTAGGTATGTCTAAAAATTTTAAAAATTACTTAAAATTTTAAAAAAAAAACAGTAAAAACAAAACAATATGAAAAATAAGAAAGTTGAAATTTTTAAAAAGTTTTTTTTGAAAAGAGAAACCCAGCATAGTGGTATTCTTGTGATCATTTGGCTCCACTGCAGCTACCTGTCAAATTTCTAAATCAGTTCATAGACTTGCACTTGGTTAAACAACACTTATCACCACTACTAAAAAATTTCTATCACTAAATTCATCGATGTAAAATAAATAAAATGTTAATATTTTAATGATTAAAAATTTCGAAGTTCATATGTTTTTTCCTTAGTGAAAAGCCGATTTTGAAAGGCTCATGCCTTTCCTCCTCTTTCAATCCAATTAGTGCCACTTCAGAATTGCATGCAATAGATAGATTTTTTACTAGCTTGGAAATTAAATATACAATGTAGATTCAAAAAATTTAATGTGATATCAAGCCTAGAATGAATTTAATCGAAATAATTCTTTGAACTATTTATTTTTGATGAGTAAAACTTTCATTATTAAAAAAATAAATAAATAGAAAGATGTACAAAAAGGCAGGACCAGACCAAAGGGTGGCATCCTCATGGCCAAAAACAAACTAGAAATTAGAAAATTAAAACAAGCAAACAAAAAACTCTTATCTACATGTTTAAATTATTAGTATTTTTTTTTAATGTGTCACAATTGTTAAAAGGGCTTAATCACATGGAGATGAACTCCAGGACTAGATCTTAAGGAGCGAAACTCAGATGTTATCGTTAGGTGATGTTACATAATATGATCACTTAAACATGTAGGTGAAGATTTTAACACATACTCTTAATATTTGGTATGATTTGTTTCGATTAGAAGTTGTTTGAGATGATCTAAATAAGTGTACTTTTTGATTTTTTATGAAATATGGGTTGAGTTTTGGTTAAGTTTAAAGTGATGTAACTTAAATAAGATAATGTAACTTAAATAGGATAGTAACTTTTTGATTTTTTTTAAATATGTCTAACCAGTCCTTACTATATCACCGGGATAACTAATACCCAAAAAACAAAAAATCAAACATGAGGCTTGGGCACACCACACCTTGGGTCACAAATGTCTCATGAGCCGTGCTTCCGACTCCAGTGGATCGCACCTCAGTGACGTGGCAGCATGAGATTGGTAAAAAATATTAAAAAAAAATAATAATAATAATTTTTTTTTTTGAACCAATCACACGCGATCCCAGTACTCCACTGGGGTCCGAAGCTTTTTCAAAAAATGTAAATACTTGCCATATCTTCTTGGATTGTGCTTCCGACTCCAGTGGGATCGCACCCCAGTGATGTGACAGTATGGGATTGGTAGAAAACATTAAAAAAAAATAATAAAAATAATTTTTTTTTTTAAACCAATCACACGCGACACCAGTACCCGCACTGGCGTCCGAAGCTTTTTCCATGTTTCATTCACTATGGATGGTGTGGTTGAAATATGTATTTAATGGGAATTTGTAGGAGGAGCAGGAGTGGGAACAATAACAGGAGCAATCAAAGGGCAGACTACTGAAACTGGGTTTGTACGTGGGGCCGCCATTGGTGCTGTTGCTGGTGCGGTTACAGCCGTACAGTTGATGGAATTGACTGTTCATGATGGCGAGCCATTTTCCAAGGTCAAATTATTTTAATGTTGTTTAATACCGACCAATATATAATTGTATTACCGATAACAATACATATCACTATACTTTTATTTAAACAATTCTTGGTATTTTTGCAAAATCTAATTACATAATCAGCTACAGTTATAAGGGGCTTGATTTGTGATAAAAAATTACTACGTGAGTGTTTGGGAAGTGAATTTTTTATAAGTTTTTTTAATTGTAAGATATTATTGGAAAAAAATAATTTTTTTTTTTAAAAAGATAGTTAAGTTTTTTTGTAGTTGGATGCAATGTTTATGAGAAAAAAAATAAAATGATTATAGGATTTGATGTGATATTTTGTTTAGATTTATTTATTTTTTTTATTTTGTAACTAATTTATCTTTTAGTAAAAAAAACTAAATAATCAAGTTCCCAAATACTGCCATGTATCTAAACTTTTGCATAAACCATGCACTGAACAGTGTTTTAGGGGAAAAAAAATGTTTTATACATCTCCTTGGTACATATCATTAAAGACAAGTCCTATGTTAATGCATGTAGTTGCAGAGCACATGTCTTACATTGAATGTGACATGGTTGGTGATCTGTTTGCTCTTGTGTGTTTTAATATGTTTTCCACATTTTTATATGGAAGCAGCTTGTCTCCGGTCTGAGATCGGATTGAATGATATTGTTCTGTCTGTGAAAACTTATTACGGGTCTCGTTTTAATAATTTGAATCGTTCAATGTGTAGAGCTCGTCGAGTATTATATGCCTGTAAAAAATCACGTTGATTGGATATTGATAATTATCCCATTGGATCAATTTTTTGTCAATCGTTAATTTGTTCACCGCTGATTTTTTTTTATACAAAACTAATATGATCACATAACTATCGATATCCGATCAACGTGATTTTTTACAATTATATAGTACTCGACGAGATATACACATTAAACGATTCTGATTATTAAAACGGGACCTGTGGTAAATTCTCATGAGCTGAACAGTACCGTCCAGTCTGATCTCGGACCGGAGACAAGCTGCTCCCTTTTTATTGGAAAAAGCTCTGTAGCTCGAAAGTTTCAGGCTCGAGTGGCCCAAAACTCAGTCAAAATGAGTCAAATATATTTCTGTCAATATTTTCTCTCTCCTCTCTATGTTTTACTTTCTACTTCTATCCTCCGAAGTCAAAACCCATTGCTGCTGCTCTTATTCTCTCAGCAGAATGCTCTATGATTATCATTTTTGGTTTGTTTTCTAGTCAAAAAATGAATCATGCTTGGAACTTGGAAGATGCTAAGCCCATTAGTTAACCATAAACTTAGATTAGTCTAAATTCAAAGAAGTTAGCCCCCCAACAATTAAGAACTAGGAAATTTCAGGTATTTGAATCCTTTTTGTAAATACAACAATCGATATAAGCACAGTCCAACTAAAAAAAAAAAATAGAGAAAATCAAACAGAAAAAACCCTTCCTTTTGTTCTTCACCGAAATCTCTACAACAGAAGAAGATGATTAAAAAAGCAGAGTATAAAATAACTTCTGTATATTATTATTATCAGACTCAAATGAAAGCTTTACAATCTGAAGGAAACTCAAAAACAGAGATCTCATAAACGATCTCTGAGAACTCAAAACAAAAATAAAAGAATCAATTTCAATCCTCAAAAAAAAAAAAAAGAAGTACAAAGGCATTGAAGAAGCTTTAGCCGATGACAATCCCTCAATTCCTCTATACTCGCATAGCTCTTCCTCCCCATCAATCCACCATTCTGCTTCTTCTCCAAATTCGCATCCTTCCAGGTAGGGGTGGGCGCGGGTCGGTTGCGGCCACGGAACTTTCAATCCGCCATCCGTTCGTCAGATTGGTGGATTGGAGAAAATCAATCCACATCTGTTCACCAATCCAGAGGATGTGGATTGAGTGGATTGGCGGTTTGGCGGATGGATGCGAATCGGTTTGGCGGTTTCAAATTTTATAAATTTTCAACATAATTCAGCTTGTGCACTTCCTAAAAAAAAAAGAAAATAAAAGAAAGTATTACAGTCAATGACTTAAAAAAATATTACCATCACTGCATGCTTCATCCAAAGTAAGAAAGTTTGAAACTTTAGAATATCACAATCATTGCATGCATTATCTACATATTACAATCGCAACATGCCTCATCCATATAAAGTATTACAATCTGTGGTTCTTAAAATATAAAAACAATTCAAACCACAAAAATTATGAACAAAGCAGTAGTAGAGATTGTATGTCTCTGTATTGTTACATCTATATTTGTTTTTGAAAATAAAAACCAATCAGCATATATCATATTTTCTATTTATTATTTTTAGAGATAGATTTAAAAACCAAAAAAATATAGATAAATAATACGTTTATTTTTTTCAATTCAAAAAAGATATTCAAGTTGATTTTTTTTTTTAATAGAATATTTAAACCTTTTTTTTAATTGAAAACACAAATAGAATATTTAAACAAACTGAAAATACAAAGTCTTATAAATTACTAGGGGTGCTCGCGGTTTGACGGTTCGGTTGCGGTCAAAGGAATCTTAAATGCGCCATCCGTCCGCCAGATCGGCGAATTGGAGAAAATCAATCCGTAACCATCCGTTCGTCATCACGCATCTGTCCAAAATGTGGCGGATCGGTTCGGTTCGGTCAGTTTTGGTGGATCGGTATATCCGCTGCTCACCCCTACTTCCAGGTAAGAAGTACAAAGTCGTTGAAGAAACTTTAGCTTTTGTTGGGGATGTACACGATGCAAGTCGTTTGTTTCACTTGATAATCTTTATGGTTTCGGTCCACAACCATTTGGACCTAGGAATGGCAACAGGGCGGGGCGGGGCCGGGGATCACCCTCCTCGTCCCCGATGGCAGAACTTCCTCCCGTCCCCGTCCCCGTCCCCATCCCCGATCCCCGATGGCAGAACTTCCTCTCGTCCCCGTCCCCATCCCCGACGGGGAACCCACTACCGCCCCCGCCCCCACCCCCGCCCCCTAACGGGGATCGGGTTTCCCCGACCCCGAAAATCCCCGGCCATCCCCAATGGGAAACCCACTACCGCTCCCACTCTCGCCCCCTAATGGGGATCGAGTTTCTCCGACCCTGAAAATCCTCGGCCAAAAAAACAACATCAACATCTCAACAACATCAAGAACATCAAAAAACAAAAAAAAAAAATCTGTTTAATGGACGACAGAACAATCTGTTCAACACACAAACACAACAACAATCATCAACAACAACATATATATATATATATATATAACAATCATCAAAAAAAAATTAATCATAGATATATATATATATACACACAACAATCATCAAAAAAAAAATTTAGATATGAGGGAGGGCTCACGGACGGAGGGAGGGCTTCACGAATCACGATTTGACGAAGGTTTCTCGGACGGAGGGCTTCTTCTTCTTCAGATCTGTTCAGACGGAGGGTTCACGATCTGACGGAGGGCTTCAAGATCTGACGGTGACGGACGGAGGGCTTCACGGACGGAGGGATCTGACGGACGGAGCGCTTCACAGACGGAGGGAGAGGGAGGGAGAGAGATGAGACTGAGATTTGAGTTAGTGAGTGAGGGAGAGAGAGATGAGGGCCACGGTGAGAGAGAGACACACACAGAGGAAGGGAAATGGGAAAATAGGTGTGGTTTATATATATATATATATATATGAGGGGTAAAAGAGTTTTTTCACTTCGGGGATAATTCGGGCCGGGGACGGGGACGTGGACGGGCCGGGATGGGCTTTAACACTGATCACCGTCCCCAGCCCGAAACTGGTTGGGAATTTAATTTCGAATACCATCCCTGTCCCCACGGGGGTACTTTTCGAGAAAAAACCATCCTAATCGGGGTTGGGGGATCGGGTCCCCGTCGGGCCGGGTTCAAATTGCCATCTCTATCTGGACCCAAATGGACCTAGATCGGTGCTCAGCGACGACACACAAGTTTGTTATCCGCTTCTCTCACTGTTCCGCTACAAAGCTTTATCCCTGTTCTTATAGGTTACAAAGGAGACGGTGCTCCTCTCTCTCTATTCTCTGTTTTTTTCTTTTTCTCTTTTCAAATGAAATGTGTGGGCGTGGAAGTTGAGTTGAGCACACGCACACGGCAGATAAAAAATAAAATTCGGGCCACTCGAGCCACGTAGTTTTGAGCTATGTAGCGGAGCCGCTTTTTATATATATCAAACATGCTTAGGTACATGGATATTGTATGCAACTATTTATTCACAATTTTTACAAATTGATCATAAAATTACAGAATATATATGGATGAACAGATATATCGAGCTTTCTCACAAAACAAACATAGCTATTCCAACAAAAATATCAAAATTATACTTAGGCCTCGTTTGACAAGTGACTTTTTTAGTCAAAAAATTACTAAAAAAATTAAAAAATCAACAACTTATACCAAAAAGTCAAAGATTCTCTTTTCTCTTTACTTTTTGCACATATTTTCTTAAAAAGTTAAAAAGTCATCCCAAACATACTACTTTTTTTTAGTTCATTTTTTAACCAAATAGTCAAAAAATTACTAAATTAATCTGTTCCCAGACGAAGCCTTAAAGCACACAAAAGCCTTCAAAATTCTACTAAAATATAATTCTTATTAATACCAACTTTACAACTTTCTGAACACAAGTTTTGTTTTTCGAAGTCGTATTTATCTCGACAATGACTTAAAAATTAAATTTTAATTGATTCAAAGGGTTAGTTGGGAAAAATTGTTCAATTAATGCACTTCCTTTAATTAGTTTATTCAATGAAAAAACACAAGAGAGAAAGAAATCAACGAGAGGAAGATCTGTTTCAGCCTCCCACTTTGAGACCAAATCAGTGTGGGCAAATAAATATTTTTTAATAAAAACATTTAAAACCCCCCATCATCCCTCACATGCATAGGACATTATGGACGATTTGAATTTTATTCACTCATTTCATATATAGCTAATTAAACCTTTTGTGTTGATTGATTAAAATAGTGGACTCCACTAAAACCCGCCTCCCTCTGTTAACCAATCAGTGGAGGGGAGGGGCGGGGAGGGTGGGTAGCATCGGGCCGGTACGGGCCGGGATGCAAAAATGGTGCCCAATGTTGGGATCTGGGATCCCGCCCAAGACCTTATAGAAATCATTGCAAGCAGAAAAACACACCCACACACAAGGAGACACAATATTTTACGTGGTTCGGCCCAATGCCTACGTCCACGGGAGAGTAACCGGTTATCACTATACCAATGAGGAGATTACAGAAAGATTACAATAGAGGAGGAGCTCACACTCTCCTCACTCAGCCACTCACCCGTCTCCCTCGCTCACACCGAGGGAGACGGTCTCTCCGCCTCACATCTCTCGCACTCTTTGGTTCACGGTTTTCTTCCTCACACTTTGCTCTCTCCTCTCAACCTCCATTTATAGGTGAGGGAGTAGGTGGGAGAGCCTTTGGGCAGCCTCCATCCTTGACTCTTCAAGATGGTTGGTGGCCTTCCATTGTTGACCAACCAAACTTGACTTGGATGATCACCACACATGGGTGAATTCAACACCCAAGTCCTGCCCGATGGACTTTTTTTGATAGCTCGTGTTGGGCCAAAATGTTGGGCACAAACTCTACCCAACGAACTTGACCCACTCAGATAAGCTAGCAGGAAAGTCGATGGGCCGCCCTTCATGTTTTTCCGCCTTTCATGTTTTTCTCCCTATTTTTCATATCTTCAAGCATGTTTGGGTTCAAGCGGAGGAACTGCCATTCATGTTTTTTTTTCTTCATATTTTTTGTCAAGCTCGCGGGCTAAGCCGTCGAATTGCCTGCTACAAGCCAAACAGTTGGCCTTCATGCCAAATGATGACCTTTAGGTGTGAACAAAGGGCAAGTATTAGGTAGTTTGAAAATACTATGTGAGATTTTTCACTTGATACTCTCAACCAATGGCATGGGAAAAAATTTTACGAGTTAGACACTATTGACCTTGTTAGAATAGTTTTAAATTTATTATTATTAATTGTATAGTGTTACATAGCTTTCGCTTTATATTATCAAATGTATAGCTTTTGCTTTCGGTGGTACTCAATCAATTGTATAGCTTTTGCTTTCGGTGAGTGTGGCATCCAATGCCCATGTTTCTCTCTATAAAGAGAGACTTCATTCCCTTTGTAATTTAACATATATACAAAACATTTCAGAGTCTCTCTCTCGCTCTATAACTTCTCTCACTCTCTCAAACTAATCTTTCAGACCTAATGTGTTTTGATGTTTCTCATTTGTTGAATACACCAAATAGACAATGGCCACATGATACTCTAGAATTACTTAATAATTTCAAATCTTAAAGAAATTAAACATTGCTGACCTAATGTGTTTTGATGCTTTTCATTTGTTGAAAACACCACATAGACAATGACCACATGATACTTTAGAATTACCTAATAATTTTCAGCCATACAGATATTAGTTTTGTGTGTATCTCTATTATCCATATCATTTCTCAATATGCAAAAAAATTACAGGTTGCCCTCTTACTTAGTCTCATAAATGGGAAGGTCTTCATGGAATGGGTGTCCCCTGCAGTGCTTAAGGCTTATCAATGGCAGGCATGTTTTTCTATCCTATATATGGCACTAGACTCTTGATTTTTCCTTAGCTAGTTGATTTGGTGTCTTGTAATTTAATTCAGAAGCCTAAATTATAAATTTAATATCCAGATAAGCACTCCGGAATCAAGTTTTAGCGAAAACTCAGACATTTTCGATGTCAATGGAAACAGAGGGTTATCTCAGGATTGCATTAACAAGCTGCCCCAAAACAAATTTCGATCCAGCAAGACAGAGAGACCTTGCCATGCCATAAATTGTATAATTTGCTTAGAGGTTAGCACCTTATTATATGATCATTTACGTTCCGTTTATTTCAAGAGAAAACACAAACGTTTTCTATATATTTTAGGTAGAAAACATTTTTTTATATTTAATTGCGACTTTAAATTAATATGCTGGTGATTGTATTAGTAATGATTTTGAATTTCCTTTTCTTTGTACCTAATACAGATATTATTTTCTTTTTTTTTTGTCCAAACAAACGGCGCGACATTATGATAATGGTTGGTGTAACTCTCTTTATTTGCTCAGGATTTCAAGAATGGAGAATATACAAGGATGCTACCGAGTTGTAGACACTCTTTTCATTTGCACTGCATAGATGGGTGGCTCAACCAGCATGGCTCTTGCCCAATATGTAGGAAAGATGTCTGATTGGCAACCGAGAAAGTGAAAAGGAAAAGGGGGAACTTGATGATATTTGATGTGATGCAATTTATCAGACAAAGTCAAGACATGTGAGTGCTTCAGGGAACTGGAAAGTAAGAGAAGGGAAGAATGTCTAAGTCTGCCATCAACTTCTACAGATCAATGCAAGCATTATTGATCCACCACCATATATATATAATCCAACTGTGATTTTTTTTTTTTTCTTTCTTTCTTTTCTCTTTCTTTTCTTGTTTTTCTCTTTTTGATAGCCGAGAACTCGGCTTAGGCAGTTCTTTGAACTCCCAAGTGTGTAAACTCAGGGTTCAAATGTCACCCCCAAACCTATGAACTGAGCAATTAAAAGCAGAGTCGAATCCAAATTGTGATGTTTTGGCATCATTATTGGTGAATGAATGGGTTTATTTTTTCTCTTCTCTAATGCTGTGTTTGGTTGGTGGATTGGTTAGAAGATTTGAGGAGGAATTTAGAAAAAAAAAAAGAAAAAGTTAAGTGAAATATAAATAAAATATACTTACATTTCACCTAATTTCACACACCCGTTCAAATCCCTCCCAAACTCCCTAACCTAACACAGCATAAATGAAAAGAAAGTCATAATCCAAAATTCAGTTCCGATTCGTAACTCGAAATTTGGAGGCTCAAATTTGCCTCGACACCAAAACGACGTCGTTTTGGTGTCTTTTTTTTGTTTTTTTTTTTTCGTGTTTTTTTCTGAAGATGAAATAAATTATTTCTAGATGTTGATCTGCATAATTTGGTCTAGAGAAGAAGATGAACATCCAGATCAACATCAATGAAGATCAACATCCAGATCAACATCAATGAAGATCAACATCCAGATCAACATCAATGAAGAAATAAATAAAAGAGAAGAAGAAAATGAACAATTTGGTCTTTGATCTGAAGATCAACATCCACATCCACATCTGAAGATCAACATCCAGATCAACATCTCTAGACGTGGATGTCTGGTTCAGCTCCTCCGTCTAGAGTTGTGTTTATCAACATCCAGATCAACATCAACAAAAAAAAAAAAAAAAAATCTGGTTCTGTAGATCAACAACAAAAATTTGGTTCTGCAAATAAATAAATTTTTTTCTTCTTGTTGGTTCAACAAAAAAAATATACAGAACAGAACAACTTTTTTTCGGATTCATCATCATCAACAACTTTTATTTATTTATTTTTTTCAGATACAGAACAAGTAAAAAATAAATAAATATACGGAACAGAATTTTTTGCACCGCCATCATCCAGATCAAATTTTTTTTTGAACAGCTTCAGATTTTGAACATCTTCATCATCTTCAACAGCATCATCATCTTCAACAGCTTCAGATCACTGACCAACAGTTTCAGATCACCGACCGCCATCACCGATCTTCCTTCTCTTCTCTCTTCCTCTTCCTCTTCTCTTCTCTCTCTCTCTCTCCCTCTCCCTCATTTCCTCTTCCCTCTCTGTCTCTGTGTTCGAAAGAATGAAAAGGAAAGAAATAAAGAAGAAAAAGAGGGAAAAAAAAAGGAAAAGAAAAAGACAGCCCAAAACGGCGTCGTTTTGGGTTGTCGAGCCATTCGGGCCACAGTGATTTCGAGCTACCACTCATTTTCCTCCAAAATTATTTGTGTTTCTTGTTGGGGTGTGTCAAAAAAATATTACAAAAAATTAATAAATTTTATGAATACTAACCAGTGTGCTTGGTTTGAGTTTTTTGAATTAAGTTTTTTGAAAATTGAGTTTTTTGATTTTCGTGTTTTTTTATTTTTAGTGAATATTTTTAAAATTTTAAACATTTTTTTTACGTTTTTAGATGCACCTTACTTAGATGTATCTAAAAAGTAAAAAATTTGTGAAAAAATATTTTTAAAAATTAATAAATACATAAAAATACAAAAAATGTACTGAATTCTCGTTTTTTGGTATATATATATTTTTGGTGTTTAGTGAATTTTTAAAAGATTTTTTTCAATTTTTTTTTTACTTTTTAGGTATAGTTATGTTAGGTATGTCTATAAATTAAAAAAATTGCTCAAAATATTAAAAAAATTCAGTAAAAATAAAAAAATAAAATTTTCTGAAAAATATTTTTAAATAATGATAACCAAGCATAGGGAATAATTAAAATCATAATTTTTTGCACTATTTTATAATAATTTTTTAAAACAAAAATAATAACCAAGCATGGCGAATAATTAAAATCATAATTTTTTGCACTATTTTATAATAATTTTTTAAAACATCTCCCTGTGTGGGTGTCCAACTTGGTCAGTCGTGTTGTGGAATATTTTGAGATTGCTGGTAACTCACATCGGATGGTAATGATACATAAAATAGACAATATTTATAATATTTTAATGTCTCGTAAGGTATTTTTAGGTAATTACGTGTTTTTTTGGTTCTACTTATACTTATGTGATATATCAATTAGTATATTAATATATATTATAATATTATTATTTTAAAATTATAAATTCTTCTTATTATACATATTATAAATATTTTAAAATTTAAAATTTATATTATATTATCCGTCAGTACATTAATTAATATATCAATTCATTCATGCATATAACTGTATGCACGTGCCTTTCCATGAACTCTCCTTTGTACAGGAGCACATGTTTTTTGTTTTTTCCTATGAATGCTCCCCTTGGCATGGGACACAAGTTTTTTGTTTGAAAATAGATTAGGGGTTTTAAATTAAGAGGTTTGATAATTTTAATTGCAGCGGTGCTAGAGGCTTCGAATTTGCCTCGACAGCAATTTTTTTTTCTTTTTCTTTTGGGGGTGGTGGCTGTGTTAGATAGGTTTTTTTTTTTTTGTTTTTTTTTTTATTTTTTAGAGTGATTTATGTGTAGGAATGTGTCAAAAAATTAGACATTTCACACAAACTTGTCGTATAAAATTATATGAAATTAACAAAATTTAACCAACAGTCTAACTGGTCAGTTAATTTTATCACTTAACCAGTCCAACCTAATTGAATGATCAGTTAAGCTGCTAGTTAAATTTTATTAATTTCATATAATTTTATACGATGAGTTGGTACAGAATGTTTAGTTTTTTGGCACACTCCTACACATAACCACATTTAAAAATAAAATAAAATCAAACCAACATAACCCAACAAATAAAAAAAAAAAAAAAACCAACATAGCCCAACAAATAGAAAGAAAAAAAAATAAACTCAGCCTATGTAGTTTGATAAGGTGAGTGAATTAAGTTAAACTTTATCAAACCATACATGCTAAGTTAGTGCGAGATGTCTAATACACATAACCATCATTGCAAAAAAGAAAGAAAAGAAAAGATAGAAAAAAAAATTAAAAAAAAAACCAAACACACAGCCCAAAAAAAAAAAAAAAAAAGAATTTCGAGGCAATTTCGAGGCCTCGAATTTGAGGCCGGCCTCAAGCATTAATCTTTTAATTGATGTGTAGATCTCATGCAATGTGATGCTTTAGTTTTGATATTTTTTTTACATCATTAATACTTTTTTAAAGCTCTTAAATTAGAAAAATGTATCATTTCTGTTTTTGTTTTGATGATGTAAACTCTAATCAATTTGTTTTTCTTTTTTTTTATTAATTTTGTAGAGACAGTGAGAGACGAATAATTTATTACGTTAAACTTTTTCACAATTACTTAAAAATAGACATAAATGTAATTCTTTATTTTTTTATATTTTCATGAGTACAATTTTTTTAGTGAAGGTAGAAACTACAAAAATATATACCATGTTCATAATTTATGTCCTAAATATTAGTTTCTAAATAGTTCAACATATTGTAAATGTCAAAAAAGTTTATAAAGGCATCAAAAAATTATAGTTCAAATTATTAGATTAGATATTAGTTTAATTTTCATTTATTTCGTCTTTAAAATTTTTAATTTCTATCCATTTGATCTAATTGGAGACTATTGTATAATCAGTAATTGTTAAATCTTAATTTGATGAGAAAAAAAGATAATTTTATAATTCAGACGATTAAAATCATATAAACAAATACCCATTAAACAGGTTGTGGGGGTGTAATTTGTTAAATATCTATGCCAACTTTCTATCTCATTTATTCTTTAATTATTAATTAATTATTTTACTGACACGTTTTTGATTTTTTAAAAGATGCATTTGTATATTATTTTTCTTCGTTAAAACTAATAAGAAAAAATGAGTGTAAATGCTCAAATTTTGATAGAACATTTTTTTCATTAAATTATACTTCATTAGTCATTAATTTGTTTAACTGTCTTCAATTGAATCACATCAAAAGAAATTAAAATTTTTAAAAATTAAATAGATAAAATTGATAGCTTAAGGGTGAAATAAAAAAAAATTAGAAATAATTTATGAGATAAAAATGAAATTAACCTTTCAATCAACTGCACATCAAATCAAGTATAATGCTAAAAACTGGAGAGGGGTATCCACACCTTGATCAGGGAAGATCTTTGCCTGTGACTGGAATACAATAAACTTGTTTCCCAAATAGACCCACCTACCATGTTTTAGAGATTAATATTTGGTGATTTGGTGATTTTTTTTTAAAAAAAAAATTAGGTTTCCAGGACGAGATGAATTGAAAGTTTAAATTTGTTTTAAAAAAATTTCAAAAAAGATAAAAATAAAAAATAGTAGACTTTTTTGGTTTATTTTAACCTTATTTTTTGTGATTATTTTCAAAACAATTTACTTTTTAAATTTGTTTGCATATGACGGATCGAAAAAATAAAAATATAATATAAATTTAAAAAAAAAATCACCAAAAATTAAAAAAAAAAATTTGAAAAAAGTTGTGGCTTTTTAAGGGTTCCCAAACACCCAAGTATTGCTAAAAACTAGACATGGGTATCCACACCTTGATCAGGAAAGATCTTTGCCTGTGCTGGAATGCAATAAACTTGTTTCCAAACAGGTCCACCTACCACCCATCCCCGAATGAAATGCACAAATTTTCGTAGCGAGAGAGAGAGAGAGTGGAAGTGAGTGAAAGTGAGAGAGAGAGAGAGAGAGAATGGCTTGGTGCGCAGCCGCAGGAGCCTTGCATTTGCCGGCAATCGACGTGGGCGCACTGCGCACTCGAGCTCCCCTAACCGGCGCCATCGGCGGCATATCGGTGGCTGGGTCGAGCTGCTGGCGATCGTCGTCTTCGACGTTGCGATCGAAGCCCTTGGCTTGCGTAGTCATTTCGACTAATGCGAGTGAGTTCCTTCTGTTGTACAATTAGCTCTATAGTATAGTCTAATCTAATGATGAATTTGAATCGGATACAACGCAATGCCAATAAAAATGTAGTTTAATTTCATGTTTTTGGTGATTTTCAGAATTTCTGAACTCTTTTCATTCGTAGATTCATGTATTTTTGTGTTCTCGGGAACTTAAAACAGTAGATTGAATCGAAGGTAGTTGATATTT